CTTTAGAAGTGCTATCTCATCTCTTGAGATCAAGTCCCTTACGAAGTGATATCTCACATCTATGTGTTTCGTACGTTCATGGTACACTGGATTCTTGCTCAAATGTATTGCACTCTGACTGTCAGAGAAGATGACATGCCTCTGATTTGTTATCTTGGCTTCACTGAGAATTCCTTTTAGCTAGATAGCTTCTTTGAATATGTCAGCAACAACAACATATTCAGCCTCAATAGTGGATAATGCAACTATCGGCTGTAATTGGGATTTCCAGCTAATGCAGTTGCCTCCTAAGGTAAAGTAGTATGCAGTAGTGGATTTTCTAGTGTCCCTGTCACTTGCAAAATCTGCATCTACAAACCCAACCAACTCAAGTGAAACAGTTCTTTTACAGTAATGCAGTCCAACATTTAAGGTAGCATTTATGTATTTCAGAACCCATTTTAAAGCAATCCAGTAGTCCATTCCACGGGTTAGACATGTACCTACTGAGTAAGGAAATTACAAAGGCTAAGTCAGGCCTTGTGCTAATCATAGCATACATAAGAGATCCTATCACATTTGCATATGGGATATGTTCCATCTTAATCATTTCAGGTTCAGTTCTAGGACATTGTGATTTACTTAGTGTGAAGTGGCTGGCCAGTGGGATTGTGACAGGTTTTGCATCTGCCATTCCAAATTTTTCTACTAGTTTGTGCAGATATGAACATTGGTGCACTCTCAGCTCACATTTGTGCCTATTTCTGTCAATTTGCATTCCTATGATCTTCTTAGCATTTCCTAAATCTTTCATTTCAAACTCAACACTCAATTTTTCCTTTAATCTACAAATCAGGGACTTAGACTTGCTAATTATTAACATGTCATCCACATACAGCAGTAAGTACACAGGCAGGTTATCATTGAGGGCAAAATAAAAGCAGTTATCATATTTACTCCTAGTGAAACCTATACTCACAATGAATGTGTCAAATCTTTTGTACCACTATCTGGGGGATTGTTTTAGGCCATATAATTATTTTAGAAGGAGGCAGACATGGTCAGGGGTCTTTGGGTCTATAAATCCTACAGGCTAGTTCATATAGATCTCTTCCTCAAGGTCCCTATGGAGGAAGGCAGTAGTTACATCTAATTGCTCAAGTTCTAAATCTAGGTGGGCTACAATGGAGAGCATTAATCTAATTGTTTTATACTTAACCACTGGGGAAAAGACTTCATTGAAGTCTATTCCCTCTCTTTGAGTGAAGCCCTTGGCTATCAGTCTAGCCTTATACCTAAGTGGTTCTCTGGTTGTTGCTCCATCCTTCAGTTTGAACAGCCACTTACATTGGATTACCTTCTGCCCTTTTGGCTTTGGTACAAGAGCCCAGGTATTGTTAACCTTCAGAGACTTCATCTCAGCTTCCATGGCAACCTTCCATTTATCCCTTTCCTTAGAGTTTACTGCTTCCTCATAAGTTTCTGGTTCAATTCTCTGCAGTTTTGTACCTGCAAGAAGAGCAGTATAAATGAGGTCAGCATATGAAAACCTTGTGGGGATCCTTACCTGTCTCCTGGCCCTATCTCTTGCAAGTTGGTAATCTTGCAAGTTTTTAGGGTGAGTTTCTGTATCTTCAGCTGTTTCTGTCTCATCCTCTTATTCTGGATCATAATGTCCAGCTTCTCCTCCAGGTTCAGGAACAGCTTCAGTCTCTTGGGTGTTTTCAGGATCCTGCAGTGGTTTAGGTTGGGCAGGAAGCTCCACCTCAATTTGTGTAGTCTTAGGCTGACTGGAATTCTCCCTTACATTTGGATTTGGACCTACATTAGAGTTAGTACTTTTACAAGGGAAAATACTCTCATTAAAGATTACATCTCGGCTTACTACAACTTTAACCCCAGGGAAATCCTTGTCCCATAGTCTGTAACCTTTTGTTCCTTCTTGGTATCCCAGAAAAACACACTTTGTTGACCTTGGTTCCAGTTTTCCACCAATAGTGTGTGCATATGCAGCACAACCAAAAACTCTCAAGTGTCCCAGATCAGGTTTTTTTCCAGTCCACATCTCTTCTGGACATTTTAGGTTGATAGCAGTGGAGGGGCTTTTGTTTATCAAGTAGGCAGAGGTGGTAAGGGCTTCTCCCCAAAAAGAGGTGGGGAGTTTGGAGGTGATAAGCATGCATCTCACTTTATCCAAGAGTGTTCTGTTCATTCTCTCAGCCACACCATTCTGTTGAGGGGTGTGTTTCACAGTTCTATGCCTCAGAATCCCTTCATCCCTGCAAAACTTATCAAACTCTTGGTTGCAGTATTCTAACCCATTGTCAGTCCTGAGAACCTTAACCCTCTTATTCATTTGGTTTTCAACTAAGAGTTTCCACTCCCTAAACTTTTCTAAGGCTTGATCCTTAGTCTTTAATAGATAAACCCAAACTTTTCTGCTGTAGTCATCTATTAGGGACATAAAGTAGCTGTTTCCCCCATAGGTTCTAATCCTCCCAGGTCCCTACAGGTCAGAGTGGATGTACTCAAGTGGACTAGTGGCTTAGTGTACCCCCTTTTGGAAACTGTTTCTATGTTGTTTTCCTAGTATACAGTTCTCATAGAAATCCAGAGAAGATATCTTGTCCTTACCAAACTGACCTTGATTGTTCAGGGTGTCCATGCCTTTTTGGCTTATGTGACCCAGTCTAAGGTGCCATTTTTCAGTGTTGGAAAGATTGACAGGCTTAGTCACAAAATTCAAACAGTTTGAGGATATGTTCCCACAGAGTATATAGAGACCATTCTTTTTCTCTCCTGTCAGGATAAGGTTCCTATTTTTGTAGATGTTCAAGCTATCATTCTCTGCCTTATAACTATAGCCTGTTTTATCTATGGTGCCTAGAGATATCAAGTTTCTTTTTAGTTCAGGGATATACCTGACTCTAGTGAGTTTGACCAGCTTTCCAGTGTTAAGACTTAGAGTTATAGATCCAATACCTCTAACCCTACATGCATTATTGTTCCCTATGTAAACAGTTTCAAAGTTAGTATCCTCAAACTCTTGGAACCAATTTCTGTTTGGACTCATATGGAAAGAGCATCCTGAGTCCAGTACCCATTCATTGGTAGTGTCAGACATTGACACTGTAAGTACCTCATGTTCATCTACTAGGTTTGTACTAGTGGCTATGTTTGTCTCTGTGTTCCCTTGTTTTTGTTTCTTGATCCATTCAAAACAGTTCTTTTTAATATGGCTAGCCTTATTACAGAAAAAACATTTTCTAGTTTCTTTACTCTTGTAATTACCCTTCCATTTTTTCTTGTTTCTATTCCCCTGATTCACAGAATTGTTTCTCCCTGTCTGACTAGACTCTTATTTTGTTTTGACAAACAGGTTAGACCCACTTCTTTTTTGGACTTTCAACTCTAACTCCCTAGCCTTAAGCCCTGCAACTATTAGATCTAGGGTTGGTACAGTACCAGTGTACTGTAACGCATTTTTTACTACTTGGTAGTCATCAGGCAGAGAGTTCAGGAGGATCATGGCAAGGTTAGTATTGCCTAATTCTTGATCTGTTCCTTTAAGGATCAGAGTCATTTTAATAAACTCGTCTAGGTTGTCCTCTATACTCCTAGAACTATCCATTTTGTAAGAGAATAAAGTACCCTTCAAGAAAGCTAAATTTGGAGCTGATTGTAAAGCATACAAAGTATTGAGTTTATTCCACAATTCTAGTGGTGATTCGATACCATCGACCTTTCTGAGGACACTGTCTGACAAATTCAGAACGATCAGATTGTAAGCCTCTTCATTGACATCCTCCTTCTTCGTCAGTTTTTCTTCTGGCCATTTCTTGATGTCTTCTTCCAGTGCAATTGCAACCTTGTTGTGTGAGAGGAGAGCTTTCATTTTCTTGTTCCAACTCCCGAAATCGATCTTCCCATCATATTGGGAGATCTCCATGCAAGTAGTACTCATTTTCCTGAAATGATAGAAATAAAGGGGGCTAAGAGGTACGTGGCGTTGTTACACTAGACGTTGCCAAATACTGCCAAGTAGTTTTTAAGGCGGTCACTGGTTTCCAACCTTTATACCTTTACACTTAGCCTAGATTTGACTCCTTAAAAAACTATTGGAGACTCAATGAATCACAGATTCGAAAAAGCCCCAAATATTTCAGAAACCTTAATTTCACAAAACCCTAATTTTGCAAAATCCCCAAAATTGCAAAACCCTAATTTTGCAAAGAAAACCCTAGCCTTCGAGAAATGGCTCTGATACCACTGTTGTAACTACTCGAACAGATTAACCAGAAAGCAAACACAAAATCACAAAAGGATTCACACACACACAACAACAACAACATCATTTACCCTGGTTCACTTGCTCGGATATGAGCAAGCTACGTCCACGTTGAGCTCGGGAAACCAGCGAGCTCGCTGCACTATATTGATTTAGATTATAGAAACACAACTCAACCAAGAATCAAACCCTTACACCGATCTTTCTAGAACCCGTAACACCCTAGAGAAAACAGATCTAACACCCAAGATATACTGCAAACTCTAGTACCCTCAAATGGCCTACAAACCAGCCACTAAAACAACCTGTTACAGATTCAAGATCAAGACTGTACCCAAACCCTAATGGAGGCTTATTCGTTTTACAGAGAAAATAGAAAAACAAGAAAGAAGGGTTTCAACTATTGAGAAAGGGACTGTTGCAATGCTTTTATACTGTTGACTATCAGACTGATTTTCCACCGTTGGATGCTCAGCCAGCCAATGGACAGGATTTGTCTTTGCTTGGCTCAAAACGATGTCGTCTCACTTAATGATAAAACGTCACCGTATGAGCCCAACACTCTAACAGAAGCTTCATTCACTGTACATTGGACAAAATTGGTTTTTGATTGACCAGGCACAATGACTTCAAAATTATACTGTTCTGCAATTGTGTGCATAAAGAATGCAGGTTTTGATGGCACTGAAAGAGAGAAAGAGTTATTACTAAGCATCAGAACAACTGAAGTCATGGTTGGCCTATTAGCTTCATTTTCTTGAACACATAGTAATCCAATATGAATACATCTGATAATTTCACAACTGGAACGACCCCTTAAAATGGGATCTATCATATTTAAAGCTGTCCCTTCCTTCCAATTTCTCCATGCCTACAAAAAATGAAAAATATGCAGATACAATGTTAGTGACTTTCTTAGTTTTATTAAATTTCATGGTCATCGCTTATTATTTGGAAAAGATGAAAAAATCGTTAAAAGATTTTTGCTTACATAAGTTAGCAGGTTCTCTCCTTCCTCTTCAATACCAAATCTAGTGTTCTTTTCGCCACTAATGATTTCCAAGACTAACACACCAAAGCTGAAAACATCCGTCTTGACTGAGTAGTGTCCATGCTTTACATACTAAGGAGCCATATAGCCACTGAGAAAAAAAATCATTTGTTAGAATGAATTAGCTGTAAAGAAACCAAAAGGTAACCATGATGAGATGCAAATCATTTCTGCTTTGTTATTCTTGATCCGTTCAATGATAGGAGTCCAAAATTTAGTTTTGATAAGCTCCAAAAACTTACAGAGTCCCCACAATTCTTCTTATATTGCCTTGAGTTTGATCCATTTCAAATAACTTTGCCATTCCAAAATCTGAAATTTTTGGAATCATATCTGCATCTAAAAGAATGTTGCTGGCTTTCAAGTCACGATAAATGATTCTGAATCTTAAATCTTCATGAAGATATAGAAATTCTCGAGCTATTCCTCCTATGATTTTGTATCGTTTTTCCCAGTCCAATAATAACCGCTTGGTTGGATCTACAAATACACAAAATTCCAAACACTTAAACTGATTGCAGAATTCTAATCAAGAACATTTGCTTTATTTCATATATACAAAATATGCATCTAGATAATTATTGAAACCAGAGAAAATAAGAAATATAGAAACCAGAAGTTAGTGACACCATACCAAATATGAAGTTATCTAGGCTTGAATTTGACACAAACTCATATATAAGAAGCCTTTCTTCATCGTCCAAGTAGAAACCTTAAAGCCTAACTAGATTTCTATGTTGAAGCTTGGCCACCAAGAGAACCTCATTTTTAAATTCTAGTTCTCCTTGTCCTGAATCTCTAGACAGCCTCTTTACAGCTACATTCTGTCCATTAAGAAGTCTCCCCTGAAATCATATAGAGTAAAAAATGAGGTAAATGCGAAACAATTGAATTGCCTTCCGGGAATTCAAACATCATAATTGAATGCATTTTGTTCACCAATCGATGCTCCTTGTCACTGTCTCAATTACCTTGTAAACAGAACCGAATCCACCTTGTCTAAGCTTATTATCAATTGAAAAGTTATTTGTTGCAACTTTGATTGTGCTGAAGTCGAATTGCAGGGATTCCACGGTCTCAATTTCATCATCATCTTAACAGTAATAACTAGTTAATTAATATATAGGTACACCATGTAATATTGTAAATTAAAAAAAAAAAAAAATTGATACTGCTGAAGTCTAATAGCAAAGATTCCACTGTCTCAATTTCCTCGCGACCTTATCTGTTAACTCCTAATTCTATCAAGAAAGAAACAACATATTAATACTTACTTTCTGTCTCTTCATTATTTCTGATCTCCTTCTTTGCTCTTTTTCTCATGAAAAACACGTAAATGAACCCAACAAGTGCTATGAAGATAATTGTCGAGAAGACAATTACTACCAAAGTTCCAGACGAAATGCTTGTTTTATAATCTGCAAAAAATAATCTAAATATTTTGTGTACCATTCGGACTACAAATTATAAGTTATATTTACTTTTACATGAAATATTTGGGTTTCATTAATTGCAAACTTACCAAGTGTGGCAGTAGTCCGTGTTAGCAAGATAAAAGCATGATCAAACGCTGTCGTTCTGCAGTTTAAGTGGCAACCAAAAACGCTGTCATTTTTATAGTTTAAATGTTAAACAAAAACTGTGTCGTTTTGGCTAGTTTCCTTTCTTCTCTGATTTAGTAAAGCTTAGCTGAAACTCCTCTGCATATTTAAAGAGAAGTCAGCTGTATTTCGTGTAACTTTCAATCAATAGAGAAAGTCCATTTTCTTCTCAGATCTTCATTTTAAGCTTCAAACACTTGCAATCTCAAAATTCCACATGGTATCAGAGCTTTGACAAACGTTAATGGCTGAAATCGATCCTTCTAAGTCCATTAACACCGACAAGCTGCTGAATAACTTCAACAATTCCAATAACTTTGCTTCAACTGTGTTCTCATCTAGTCTACAAGTAATTAACCCTAAGCTCACCATCGACAACTACCGATTCTGGAGATCGCAAGTTCTGTTTGCCGTGGGTGCTCATGCATTGGAAGATCACTTGATAGGTACTGTTCCTTGTCCTCCACCGCTTATTTTTGTTAAGAAAGATAATGCTGGAACTGTTGGTGAAACTATAGACAAGGAAAATGTAGTTATGGAAGAAATTAATCCAGCTTATATTGTTTGGAAACGTACTGATAAATTCTTGGTTAGTTGGTTGTTAGCTTCAATTTCAGAAAGTATGTTTGGTCATGTCTCTAAATGTCGTTATTCAAGTGAAATATGGTTTGTATTAGAGAATGAATTTGAAATAGATTCTAAGGCTAGAGCTTTGCACTTAAAGAACTTGCTGCAAACTACTCATAAGAAGGACTTAAGCATAAATAGTTACTTCAAGAAAATGAAGGAGATTGTGTACAGTTTATCTGCTAGTGGACAGTCCATATCAGATGAGGATCTTCTTCAATATGTCTTAGATGGTCTTGGCCCTGAGTATGATGCTGCTGTTGTGAATTTAACCTCACGAATTGAATCTAAAGTGGATTCTATCTCTTTGCAAGAAGCAAAGTTTTTGTTGCAAAAATATGAAATAAGGCTGGAAAAATTTAATACTTTGGACTTCTCAAACGGCTTAACTAACTTAGCTACTGCAGCAACTGGAAATCCGCTAAAATCAGCTGTGAAACATGAGAATGTTCCAGTGTTTAACGGCTCTACATTGAATGCTTTGCATAGTTTATAGAGTCAACAACCACACTCCACTTATCCTGTTCCTGTAAACTCAGTCTCTTGATTAAATTCTCAAAGTGCTTCAATACAGCAGCCTAGTGGCCAAACTGATATGTCCTGGAATGCTTACAGACCTGCTATGTTTAATAATTTTGGTAGAGGTAGAGATAGGTTCAACAATAGAGGTAGACCTATTTGTCAAATGTGTAGTAAACCAAGACATACTGCGATCCAATGTTACCACAGATATGACTCAGCCTATTCTAGAGGATTTCAGTCAGGAATGTTTCTGTCTCAGTCATAGTTTAGCAATGGGCACTATCAAACTGGAAATTCCCAATTTGCAAGGCCAAGTTCTTATCAATATGCATCTTCACAATTTAATCCTGGTTCCTATGGAAATTCAGGACACTCTGGACAGTCTGGACAATTTAATTCTGGCTCTTATGGAAGCTCTAGATACTCTGGTCCTATTGGTCTTCCAAGTCAGCAGATATCATCTAGTCCTGTTGGTCTCCCAAGTCAACAGATGATGTCTGGATCACAAGCTCATTTTGCGGCAATTCAGTCCTCACCAAGCTCACAAGCACACTTCGCTGTGCAGTCCCAACAGTTTCCTGCTTTATCTACACAACAGTACCCAAATATGCCTCCACAACACTACCCAAATATGTCAACTTCCCTTGCAAACTCAGCAACACCTACTGACCCCATCTGGTACATGGATTCAGGTGCAACAGACCACATCGTCTCTGATCTAGCTCAGTTGAATGCCAGCAAACCATACGAAGGTACAGATCAATTGCAAGTGGGAAATGGTGAGTTCTTAAACATTTCTCACACTGGTTTTTCTTCATTACCTAGTGTATTACAGTCCAAATGTTTGTACCTTAAAAATATCCTGTGTGTGCCTAAAATCACCAAGAACTTACTAAGCATTTCAAAATTTACTAAGGATAATAATGTGGTTGTTGAGTTTAATTCTAATTGTTGTGTTGTGAAGGGCAAAATTTCCAGGACTGTGCTACTCCAAGGAGATCTTAAAGAAGGGCTATATCGGCTAATGCTACTTGCTAGTATGTCCATTCAACCCTCACTTTCCTCACAAGTCAAACCTCCAAATTTACCTTCTGTTAATTGTGCATTGTCTAAACAGATTCAGCATTCAATAGAAGAACCTTTAGGGTCAGCAGTGTTAGAGAAGTCAAAATTTGTAAATACCATATATAATAATGACATTGCTTGTGTTGAATCTTCTTGCAATAAAAATAAAACTCCAGTTTCAGTTGCAAATATCTCAGTACCTACTGAAAATTCCAAGATTGATAGTTCTAATGAATGTCAACAACATAATTTATTTGATAAAACATATCATATGAATGATCTGTCTGATGCTGTGTTTTCTAATGTTGTGTTTTCTGATGCTGATCTGCTTAATTCTGCTCCTATTATTCCACAAAATATTAGTCAAGTGTCTTTAGATAGCTCATCTCCTCATGCTGAAGCAGTTGTTACTACAAACACTAATATTAATTCATTGATTTGGCATCAAAGATTAGGTCATCCTCATAGTAAAGTTTACAATCAAATCATGCATCAAACTAATTTTCAATTAGGAAAATTACATCCTGTTGAGTTCTATGATGCTTGTCAATTAGGAAAGATGCATCACACTAGCTTTCCCAAATCACATTCTAGAGCTAATTTTCCTCTTGAACTCATCCATAGTGACATATGGGGTCCTGCACCTATTGCCTCAACTGAAGGTTTTAGATACTATGTGCAATTCTTAGATGACTTTAGTAGGTATACTTGGCTATTTCCCCTTAGAACTAAGGCTGAGTTAGGTCTATATTTATCAAATTTCATCATTTAGCCGAAAGACAATTTGGTTATAAGCTTAAGTGTATTCAATCTAATCAAGGAGGTGAGTATAAGGGATTATTGCCATATCTAACTAGTGAAGGAATTCAGTTTAGATATTCTTGTGTTTATGTACATCAACAAAATCAAAGAAGTGAAAGAAAGCATAGGCATGTTGTAGAAACAGGTTTGATACTATTAGCCCATGCATCTATGCCTTTAAATTTCTGGTGGCTTTCTTTTGAGACTGCAGTCTACTTAATAAATAGAATGCCTACTGATGTACTACAACATACATCTCCTTATCAGCTATTGTTTAAATTTCCTCCTGTGTATGATACCTTGAAGGTCTTTGGTTGTGCTTGTTTTCCTTTCCTAAGGGTTTTTAATAAACATAAGTTTAGTTTCCATTCAAGTAAGTGTGTTTTTGTTGGATATAGTTTGATGCATAAGGGTTACAAATGTCTTAGCTCAGATGGTCGAATCTTTATCACTCCTAGTGTCAGGTTTAATGAGCATGAATTTCCTTTTTCTTCTGGTTTCACCACTGTGAAATCTGTTCAGCCCTCTTCACCTGAGTTCCCTTCCCCTACATCTACATTTTCCCCTTTCATTTCCATCCATAATCCTACCAGCTCAGCTTGCTCTGGTTCTCCTGGAGTAGCCTGTCCTTCAAATGATTCTCCTCCAACAAGTGGTAAGGATTTACTCTTCTCCCCATCTTTTATTCCTGTAATTCATCAATCCCCATCATCCAATGCATTTCCACTATCAAATACATTGCCTATACCATCATCTAGTACTTATCTACCTTCAAATACACTGCCTGTACCTATATCATCATTTAGTGCATCTCCACCATAAAAAACACTGCCTGATACTATCATAGTAGACTTAACAACTTCATAACTTCCTAATCATTCAACAACTCCACACAACTTTCACAACACTGAATCAGCCTTATACAGTTCTCAAAAACCAGAATCAGTCATACACAATTCTCAAAGAAAAACAGAACCAATCATACACAATTCTCACAGAAAAATTGAACCATCATGTTCCATTGAAATTGATCTGAACCTGTCCAAGTTTGCTGCCGTTCCAAGCTCTTTAGAGGTTTCCATAAACACTCATCCTATGGTTACAAGAAGCAAATCTGCTGCTGTTTTTCCCAAAACAGCATTGCTAGCTATTGCCTCTATAATACCTAAACCCAACACTGTCCAAGAAGCCTTATCTAGTCATGAGTGGAAGTCAGCTATGCAAGTAGAGTATGATGCTCTAATTGCCAACCAAACCTGGTCTCTTGTCCCTTTTTCTTCAGAAATGAATGTTGTAGGGAATAAGTGGGTCTTTAGGACAAAGTTCAATGCCGATGGGTCACTGCAAAAGTATAAAGCAAGGCTTGTAGCCAAAGGTTTTCAACAAACCCTTGGCCTTGACTATTTTGAAACCTTTAGTCCAGTAATCAAGCCTTCCACAATATGGATTATTCTTACCTTGGCAGTGACAAACAATTGGGATATCCAGCAGGTGGATGTAAACAATGCCTTTCTCAATGGCACACTAAATGAAGTCGTTTACATGACTCAACCTGTTGGTTTTGAAGATACTACACAACCCACTTCAATTTGCAAGTTAAACAAAGCCCTTTATGGACTTAAGCAGGCTCCAAGGGCTTGGTTTGACAAGCTTAAACAAGCTCTTCTGCAGAAAGGCTTCGTTAATTCTGTATCAGATTCGAGCATGTTCATCCTGTATCAAAATGGTCAAGTCATTTACATTTTGGTTTATGTTGATGACATATTGTTAACCGGTTCAGATTTGTCCTACATAAAACAGTTAGTGTAGGAGGTTAATGACCAATTTACACTCAAAACACTTGGCTCAATCCATTATTTTTTAGGATTGGAAGCAACAAGGATAGCCACCTGTTTACATTTAAAACAGTCCAAATATGCTAATGATTTACTTGCCAAGACAAATATGTTAGAAGCTAATGCATGTGCTACTCCTATGGCTACTAGTGCAAGACTATTTTCAGGAGATAGTGATCTGTTTTCTAATCCCAGCCTGTTTAGGAGTACTGTAGGAGCTTTACAGTATTTGACTTTAACTAGACCAAATTTGAGCTTTACAGTTAATAAGTTAAGTCAATTCTTACAAGCTCCTACTACCCTTCATTGGAAAGATGGAAAAGAGTCCTGCGATTATTCAGGGTACTAAAGATCATGGGCTGAAAATCACTCCTGCTGTCTCTCTTCAAATTGAGTGTTATGATGCTGATTGGGGAAGTAATATAGAAGATAGAAGGTCAACTAGTGGGTATTGTGTGTTCCTAGGTCCTAACTTAATCAATGGAGCTCTAGAAAACAAAAAGTAGTGGCTCTTTCCTCTACGAAGTGAGTATAGGGTACTTGCACACACAGCTACTGAAATTGCTTGGCTGAATAGTGTGTTTACTGAATTAGGACTGTCTTTCAACAAAACTCCAGTTATATGGGTGTGACAAGGTGAGTGTGGAGCCTTGGCCTCAAATCCGGTTTTTCATGTCGTACCAAACACATAGAAATTGACACTCACTATATTCGTGAAAAGTATGGCTAATAAGGTTGTTGTTCAATATGTACCTTCTAAGCTGCAAATTGCTGACTACTCACTAAGCCTCTTCCGCTGCCAATTTGAAGAATTAAAAGCAAAGCGACGTTAAATCTGACTGAATCTGCTGCAGTAAATGTGAAGTATTGGCAGTAGTGACTGAATCTGCTGCCAACAAAATTTTAGTTGAATAAAGCCCGCAAAATTATTTTAGTTGAATAACGTGGTTAAAGCACTGCTGTTTGAAATAGTGAAGTAGTGAAGCAGTGATTAATTCTGATGGCAGTAGTGATTGATGCATTATGGCATGGAAGTTGGTTAGTTGTTATGTTGCAGCTATTGTTGGCAAAAAGCAGTGAAGTAGTGAGTAGTGAAGCAGTGGTAATTCTGATGGCATTTTGTGATAGATCAGTGAGATTTTTTTTTACTCTGAAGTTGTGTTTAGTTCTGGAGGTTGTTGTTCTGAAGTGTGAAGGTTGTTGTTCTGAAGCAATTGTCATTACATTACTCTGAAGTGTTGTTTTTAGTTCTGAAGGTTGTTGTTCTGAAGCGTGAAGGTTTGTGTTTGAAAGCTTTATCATCAACATTTTACTCTAAAGTTGTTGTTTTTAGTTCTGAAGTTCTGAAGGTTGTTGCTTGAAGCTGTTGTCATAACATTCTCTGAAGTTGTTGTTTTTTAGTTCTGAAGTTCTGAAGGTTGTTGCTCTGAAGCTGTTGGCATTGGCATTTTGATCAGTTACTTCTAAATTGCTACTGAAGCGTTGGCGTTGGGCATTTTGATCAGTTTCTACTCTAAAATTGCTACTCTAAAGCTGTTGGCATTGGCATTTTATGATCAGTTTCTACTCTGATAGTTTTTTTTTGTTTTCATTCTGATCATTCATAAGAAGAAGATTCTATGTTGCAGCAAAGTTTCAGCATTGACAGATTTTGAGTTTGAAGATCCATGTTGTAGGAAACTTGAGAATATCTGCAGATTTTATGTTTCAGCATTTGACAGATTTTGAGTTTCAGAGTTTTGTGAGGTTCAAAGCAGAATTTATAAGCGGTGGAATTTGAGCTTCAAGTTTATTAGCCTGAGCAGAATGTTAGCTACAAGTTGAATTGGCAAGCTGGAGCTACGAAGTAGTTCAGCTTGAGGGGGCTGTTAGCAAGATAAAAGCATGATCAAACGCTGTCGTTCTGCAGTTTAAGTGACAACCAAAAACGCTGTCATTTACAGTTTAAATGTTAAACAAAAACTGTGTCGTTTTGGCCAGTTTCCTTTTTCTCTGATTTAGTAAAGCTTAGTGAAACCTCTCTGCATATTTAAAGAGAAGTCAGCTGTATTTCGTGTAACTTTCAATCAATAGAGAAAGTCCATTTTTCTCAGATCTCATTTTAGAGCTTCAAACAACGTTTCAATCTAAAATTCCCACAGTCCGTGGTGGAGAAGAAGGTGGAACGACAGTTGCAGTTGGAGGAGAAAGGGATGGAGCATCTGCAGAGTAATTGTAGAAGGGATACATCTCCCAACGAAAAATGCAAGTTGGTCTCCGAACGATACCTCCTTGGTTTAGACGACAACAATTCTGATAATCAGCCACGGATTGACGGAGACAAAAGTCACAATCACTTTGTGATATATCCGGAGTACACTGCATTAATGCATATATTTTCTGAAAGCTTGTCAAATCCACTGATTCAGTTGCAAACTTAAGCCTAGACGAACCCGCAGATGCTTTCACTACGGTCCGGTCCATTAGACTCTCCCAAGTCTCATTAAACTGGGTCAAATATGTTGGGATTTTACCCGTATTAAACAATATACTCTCAGGTTCTAGCTCCAAAATTCCAAAAAACGAGCTATTTGAATAGCGTACAAAGCAAGGAGAATCTTGGCTTCCCCAAGAAAGTGCTTCTTTCTGGTTGGGACAGTGTGACATAATATCGGGAGTTGCTGAACTGATACAGGCGGCACAAGACTCAAGGGAGGTATCTCCTCTGCAAACCGCACGAGCATATACTTTGTCCGGGTCTTGGCCAATGGTTCCATTGTAGAAACCTCCATTTGCTGTTATATTTGAAGCAAGAGAAGAGAGGATGATGTTGCGGTTTATTTCATAGGTACTATTTGTTGTGAAGTTTCCTTTGTTGTAATAACATTTCTGTGGGCTAGTGGTGAGACAAATGCTTATAAGCGTAGATAGGATAATAAGCAAATATTTATTCGAACCCGTTGCACGATTATGCACTCTCATGTCTTAACTAATCAAAATGATCAGGAGATGCTGAATCAACAAAAATTAAGAGAAACTAAACCCTAATAGCCTGTGTTTTAACATTCCTGTTTCAAATATTTTCATTTACAACATAGGAAAAGTCTCTGTTTCTTAGGTCAATACTTCCGTTAGATAATACAAGTCATTCAACTATTCGATTCAACCTTCAACAAATCTTTTATGACTATTAAAAGTTTTTGATCCAAACAACTAGATGACTGAGACTGCAGTGCTTAATTGGGACAGTCAATAAATTCGGTGTGAATATAATTATGGTTACGTTGTCTAGTCAATTTTAACAGTATCTCCAAATGACTCTTTATATGATCCAAACTCTTTATTATAAAGAATTTATCTATAAAAATACGAGTCCAACTGACTTTTTATCTTTAAAATATAAATTAGAGAGTGAGTTTGATTCTCCATATTTAAAGAGTGAAATTTGACTTTCTATCCTAATTTTAATTAATAAACTATAGGTTCCTATACATTTTATTTATTAATTCTCTCTCCCGTTAAGTCTCTTTCTTAAAAATAAAGAGCATCTTCATTAAATTTAAAGAGTTTATTGGATTTGAATGAAAATTGTGTTCTTTATATTTTAAAATTAATGAAGATGCTCTTTATTTATATAAAAGATGCTCTTCAAAATAAAGAGCACATCTCCAATGGTGTTCTTTGTTTTAAAGAGCATATTTCATATAAATAAAAAACATCTTCATTGATTTTTAAATATAAAGAACAAATTTTTTATTTAAATCCAATAGACTCTTTAAATTTTAAGAGAGAGAATATGTTTTTTCAAGAAAAAAACTTAATAGGAGAGATAAATTATAAATAAAATACATAGAAACTTGCAATTTATTATTTAAAATTAGGATAGAGTGTGAAATTTGACTCTCTAAATGTAGAAAGTCAAACTTACTTTTTAATTTATATTTAAAGAATAAAGAATCTGTTGGACTCTTGTTTCTTTGGATAAACTCTTTATAATAAAGAGTTTATGTCATATAGAGAGTCTTTTAGAGATGCTGTTAAGATTGATCGAAAATGCATATATAGAATTTAATTGATTGATACTGCCAACCACAATACACGTAGGCTGTAGGTTTTTTCCCCTTCCTATTTGTCTAAGAACTAGCCTGTAGACCTACCATACCATAACTGAACTTTTACGCCTCTTTAATCTATATATCTATATAAAGCTGAGCCACCCTCTGGTTGATTGACAGATAGTACTCGTTTTGTGAGTGTAGAATTGTTCCATCTTGACACGTTGGTTTTACGATTTAATGAGCCCACTAAAATTACTCCATCTTGACACATTGGGTTTGTATTAATTGCTTCATCTTGACACATTGGATGTGTATTAATAATAATTATATAGGTGCACTGCATTGACATTCCAAAGGTCTAACCATTTTGACACGTTGGATGTGTACTAATAACAATTATATAGGTGCATTGCATTGACATTTTGAATTTCTAAATAGAAAGATACAAAGATTGGAGTTAGTCTCTTCATATTTTGTTTTGTAGCTCTACAATTGCTACATTTTGACACGTTGGATATGTGGTTTAATGACCTCTACCTGAATTGCTAATAATAATTATATAGGTGCATTGTATTGACATTGCAAATGTTTCTTCATATTCAATTGCATCGACATCCAAAAAGTCTAAATAAAGAGTTATAAAACGGTCATCTATTCAGTTGTGTATTATCATAATATGTTAGTTGGTGTCAACAATACATCTAGTCTTTTGTTAGTTGTTTATAGATCATGTTAGTTGGTGTCAATAATAAGTCTAGTCTTTAGGATTTTGTTAATTTTTTTTTTATTTTTATTTTTACAGGTCAAAGATCCATGAATTGGCCTGGAATAAAGGCAGGATGTTTGAGGAGGATGTTTGTATGCTAAGATGTTTTTATTAGGAACTCAGATTGTTGAACCAATTGCTATTTGAGTTTAATTGTTTTAGACATGCCGAACTGTAAGTATATTTCTTAACAATTTATGAATTAACTTTTGTTGATTTTGTTTTCAGGTATTTTGTTATGCCGGTTGCAAGTATATCTCCTAACTATTTTAATGTGAAAATCAATTAATTTTTGTTGATTATGTTTTCACGAAAAACATTCACGTATTTTAATGGAATCAGTAACGGTAATTATATTTCTTAATAATCTTAATATGAAAATCAATTAACTGTGGTTGATTTTGTTTTAAGGTATTTTGTTCTGCCGAACTNTGTTGAAATGATGGCAGTAGTGACTGAATCTGCTGTAGTAAAAAGTTGGCAGTAGTGAGTAGTGACTGAATATGCTGCAGTAAAATGTTGGCAGTAGTGACTGAATCTGCTGCAGTAAAATGTTGAAATAGTGAGTTGTTTATGTTGGCTGTATGTTTGTTAATGTTGGCAGCGTTGTGTGTTGATTAATTGTTGTGATATGTTGGCATTTGGAAGATTGGTTAGTTATTGTGTTGCAGCTATTGGTTGCAAAGGCAGTATGCATTGAGTGTTGATTAATTGTTGTGATATGTTGGCTTTTGGAAGATTGGTTAGTTATTGTGTTGCAGCTATTGGTTGCAAAGGCAGTAAAGTAATGAAGCAATGGTTAAGTCTGATGGATGACAATAGTGATTGATGCATTAGGGCAAGTTGGTTAGTGATTGATGCATTATGGCAAGTTGGTTAGTTTTTTGCTGTTGATCGCAAAGGCAGTGAAGCAGTGAAATTTTACTCTGAAGTTGCTGTTGATAGCAAAGATAGTAAAGCAGTGAAGTTAAGCAGTGAAATTGTTACTTTGGAGTTGTTGTTTTTGGTGAAATTGTTTTGTTTTTGGTGAAGTTGTTGTTTTTGGTGAAGTTGTTGTTTTTTTGGTTCTGAAGGCTGTTGTTCTAAAGTTTTGCTCTTAAGTTGTTGGCATTGGTATGTGGCATTGGCATTTGGTGATCAGTCTCTACTCTGAAAATCAGTTTCTACTCTGAAGTTGTTACTCTGAAGTTTATGTTGCAGCAAACTTGAGAATATCTGCAGATTTTATAAGCAGAATTTATATGCAGTGGAATTGTTACTCTGAAGTTTATATTGCAGCAAACTTATGTTGAAGCAAACTTGAGAATATCTGCAGGTTTTATAAGCAGTGGAATTGTTACTCTGAAGTTTATATTGCAGCAAACTTATGTTGAAGCAAACTTGAGAATATCTGCAGGTTTTATAAGCAGAATTTATAAGCAGTGGAATTTGAGCTTCAAGTTTTTTTTGCCTGAGCAGAATGTTAGCTGCAAGTTGAATTGGCAAGCTGAAGCTACGAAGTAGTTCAGCTTGAGGAGGGCTGTTAGCAAGATAAAAACATGATCAAAACGCTGCCATTCTGCAGTTTAAGTAGCAACCAGAAACGCTGACGTTTTTACAGTTTAAGTGTTAAACAAAACTGTGTCATTTTTTACCAGCTTCTTTTCTTCTTTGTTTTTAGTAAAGTTGAGCTGAAACTTCTCTGCATATTTAAAGAGAAGTCTGCTGCGTTTTCGTGTATCTTTAATCAATAGAGAAAGTCTTTTTCTTCTCAGATCTTCACTTTAAGCTTCAAACACTTTCAATCTCAAAATTCCACAAAGGGGACATCACATCCATTTTGATATTTACTAAGTCTTAATGCTTTTGAGCACTCTACTTTACTCTTGTAAAGATATCATCCATCACCGTAAAGAATTGCCTTTCTCAATGGGCACACTAAATGAAGTGGTTTACATGACTCAACCTGTTGGTTTTGAAGATACTGACAAACCCACTTCAGTTTGCAAGTAAACAAAGCCCTTTATGGACTTAAGCAGGCTCCAGGGTCTAGTTTGACAAGCTTAAACAAGCTCTTCTACAGAAGGCTTTGTTAATTCTATATCAGATTCGAGTGTTCATCTGCATTCAAAGTGGTCAAGTTTACTTACATTTTGGTTTATGTTGATGACATATTGTTAACCGGTTTCAGTTTGTCCTACATAAAACAGTTAGTGCAGGAGCTTAATGACCAATTGCACAAAACACTTGGCTCAATTCATTATTTTTTGGACTGGAAGCAACAAGGACAGACATGGTTTACATTTAAAATAGTCCAAAAGATCTAATGATTTACTTGCCAAGACAATATGTTAGAAGCTAATGCATGTGCTACTCCTATGGCTACTAGTGCAAGACTGTTTTCAGGAGATAGTGATCGTTTTCTAATCCCAGCCTGTTTAGAAGTACTTGTAGGAGCGTTACAGTATTTGACTTTAACTAGACCAGATTTGAGCTTTACAGTTAACAAGTTAAGTCAATTCTTACAAGCTCCTACCACCCTTCATTGGCAAGCTTGAAAAAAAGTCCTGCGATATATTCAGGGTACTAAAGATCAGGGCTGATAAATCACTCCTGTTGTTCTCTTCAAATTGAGTGTTATGCTGATGCTGATGGGGAAGTAATAAGAAGATAGGAGGTCAACCAGTGGGTATTGTGTGTTCCTAGGTCCTAACTTAATCCAATGGAGCTCTAGAAAACAAAAAGTAGTGGCTCTTTCCTCTACTGAAGCTGAGTATAGGACACTTGCACACACAACCACTGAAATTGCTTGGCTGATAGGTGTTTACTGAATTAGGATGTCTTTTAACAAAACTTAGTTATATGGTGTGACAATGTGAGTGTGAGCTTGGCCTCAAATCCAATTTTTCATGCTCGTACCAAACACATAGAAATTGACACTATTATATTCGGAACAAGATTGGCTAATAAGGTTGCTGTTCAATATGTACCTTCTAAGTTACAAATTGCTGACATATCACTAAGCCTCTTCCTGCTGCTCAATTTGAAGAATTAAAAGCAAAGCTGACTATTAAATCTGACTAAATGCTGCAGTAAGTAAAAGTAAATTTCTGGTGGCTTTCTTTTGAGACTGCAGTCTACTTAATAAATAGAATGCCTACTGATGTACTACAACATAC